TATTGCTCTTAGGCAGAAAAAAATGAAATGCACAGATACAGGACAGGTAATGCCTGACTTGACAATATTACATGTGAAATAGACAAAAAATTGAACATGAGCCAAAAATGTGATGCAGCAGCTAAAAAGCCAATGGGATTTTGAACCACATCAAAAGGAGTATAGTGTCTCTAGATCAAGGGAAGTAATGGTGCCCCTCTATTCTGCTTTGGTCAGATCTCATCTGGAATACTGCATCCAGTTCTGGGCACCACAGTTCAAGAGGGATATTGACAAGCTGGAACGTGTCCAGAGGAGGGCGACTAAAATGATCAAAGTTCTGGAAACCATGCCCTATGAGGAGCGGCTTAAAGAGCTGGGTATGTTTAGCCTGCAGAAGAGAAGGTTGAGAGGAAACATGATCACCATGTTTAAATATTTGGAAGGATGTCAAAAGGAAGAGGGAGCAGACTTGTTTTCTGCTGCCCTGGAGACAGACAGACAGACAGAGCGATAGATAGATAGATAGATAGATAGATAGATAGATAGATAGATAGATAGATAGATAGATAGATAGATAGATAATCTTTGGATAGCATAGGGAAGGATTAACACTCCTGTTGTGGGTTGTTTTGTTTTGTTTCTTGCTGTATGTGCCACTGTTCAGAAAATTGCACCTCATTTTCTGTCCCTATGGTAATTGGATTTTGAAAAATTAGATTTGTCATGGAAACAAGGATTGATGAGAAAGCTTCAGTGCAGACACCTTTCCCCCATGATAACTCTTTTAGGAGTGAATTTCCCTTCCGAGGGGTAGATTTCTCTCACTTCTTGTTGTCTCACCCTTGTTCTTAACTATAAATTGTTTGTAAGTTGGATGTTTGTTACTCAGAGACTGCTTGTACAGGAAAGGATATTCCACCTGAATATTAGCAAGAACTTATTGACCATAAGAGCTCGGAGTCTGGTGGAGGATCCTTCCTTTGGAGGCTTTTAAACAGAGCTGGATGGCCATCTGTTGGGGTTACTTTGATTGTGCTTTTCTTGCATGGCAGGAAGTTAGACTGGATGACTCATGTGATCTCTTCCAACTCTGATTCGAAGTTCCACAAGTTCCTAAAAACACTCTTTTTTTTTTCTTCAAAAAATGGAAAAGTGATGATGATGACTGGTGGTTAAAGAAATTGATATAAAATAACATATTACAATGCATATTGTTACATGTATACATTTGTATAAGTAGTAAATGTTCAGTATTTTTATTTTTCTAAAAAACCATTTTTATGATATGGCAGCAGGTTGGGATGTTCCTGTAAGATAGCTGTGTTGGCGACAGAGCGGAATATACTACCTGAGTTGCTAAAAACATACAAGGACTATATTATATGGAATGCATACTTTCCTAGTCATATCAGAGTGGTTTAAATCCAGAAAAGTATTAATACAAAACCACCCAAAATAAGGTGGTTTTGAGAGTGGGAGGGGGTCCTGAAATGCCAAATACCTCATGGCAGATGACATATTTCAATTTGTCAGAAGACCTCCCTTTTGACTCAAGACAAAAACATTTGAGAATATTCTTTACATCCCCATCTTAAAGATTAACATGTTTTGTTTATCATAAGTTGTCATGGAGTGCCACTTACTTCTTCAAATGATAGCTGAAGAAAAGTATTAGATTCTTTGTTGTTCTGCTGTAATAGACTAATATGGTGACTCCTCCAGAATGAGTGTTCAAAATCTTTCATTTTGTTTCTGTCCCATCTAGAAATGCTAAACATGCCATTGTCCCCACTGCATCACAATGCTACCTGAAATATTAAGCATCCTCAGACAATACAGGCCAAGATAAAGAGAAGACAGAGTTACTGTTTTAACTAGCGATCCTGTTTTTGCTGTCTGCAGCATCTAAACATACAGATAAACTACTTTCTCTCAGTCTTGCACTGAAAACAGAAATCCCATAGCATTGATATACAGTAGCACTTAATTCCTGGATATTTATATAGTTAATTAATCTTAATTACTCCTGCAAAGCTTGATAATGACATATCCCATCTCTTAAATAAATGGGATTGTCTCAAGCAACCTTCCCTGTTATGGTTTTCCTAGGACCTCATCACAAAGGCCGGGCAAAGCATCCCACTTTGCCTGGCATCGCAACAAAGGGCAGGGGGTTAACCTTACCTCAAAAGCAGACAGCCAAAGCACACTGGTCTGTGGAGGCGGGGGCCAAGAAAAGAAACTTAACATCATTGTTAAGTTTTGGTCCCGCTCCTTGCTCAGGGCAATTGGGAAGGGAGCCATTTTTAGTTAGTCTCAGCAAGGTAAACTTGTATATAGGATGTGTGCAAGCTTCCCCTGTACAAAAGCTTCAACCCTTAAGACCTTCCGGGGGAGAAAGGTCTTAAGAGTCTCCAAAGAATCTCCAGGAAAACAGCCCTAAAGACCAAAGAACTCCAGCTGGAAAACATCTACTGCCTTGCTGGTAGGTCCACTCGACGTTCGAGATGCAGTTCAACCTGGTAGCAGAGCCCACATCAGTAAGGGTTAGATTACAGTCAGCCTGGGAGAAGTTAAAAAGGAGATTTTCCTTTAAATAAGAAGTTATTGCCTGTTCTTCGTGGGCAAGATTAGGAATTCACCAGTTGCCTAAAAGCTTGGAATCATTTGCTTAACTTTACTGATGACAAGAGAAGTTTCTGTTTGATTGTTCATTAATAAAATACTTTGTTGTACTTCTCAAGCCATCTAAAGACTGTTTGTGGTGGAAACCTCTGAGAACTTCTCTTTAGGCCCCCTGGCTTCCCGCTGGTTCTTCATGTGGAAGGAAGGAACAGAAGCACATAGGCACTCTCATCTCCCTTTGGCTGGAACAGTTGGAGAAGACCACTCTGAGTCTGTGTGCTAACAGGAGCCAGGGCTTTGTTTGAGATGGCATAGGAGGGGAGGGTCAGCAGGAGAAGAGTGTGTGTGTGGGGGGGGGGGATTATGCCTATGGGGCCCCTTCCTCAAAAGCTGCATTGCATCAATTTAGGTTTTCTGTGGAAGACCCTCACTGACCACTTTTGTGTTTCTTGTTGACCATCTGTGGTTCATGGATCACTGGTTGGAAACCAATGTCCTAGGCTGGATCTGTGTTGCCCTATACCCCAGGATGTGATCCCAGTTTATCTTCTTATCCCAGATTATGTGGCACTGTGGACTCATATAATCCAAAGATGATAATCTTGGATCAGATCTTGGGATATAGGACAGTGTAGATCCAGTTGTAGAGGGACTTTATATTACCACCGTTTTCCTTTGTGAAGCTGCCCACATCAGGCTGGATTGTAAACCTTCTGTTTGACACAGACAACCCTATACTTGAAACCTTTGAAATTAGAGAACCTCATGAACATAAACTTTCTTCTTTTCAGATAGTTAATGGGGGAAAAATCTTGCAGATGACTCTATACACATGGGTGTATGATACTGCCAGTCTTACTTGCTTCTGCCTTTCTAGCTATACTTTCCAGTTAGGTGATGTTACCCTTTTCCCTATGGTAAAAAGTCACCAAGAAATGGACCTCAAATATTTTAGTTATGGGATACAGCATGCAAAATCCAACAGATACTACTCAAAAAGTATTTAACATCAAAAAACAAAACGACAGTAAAGGAATAAAAAAGACTGATTGGACTACCTTTGAGGAATATATAAATATTGAGGATAAACAATAAATACATAACTGTATGACGGAGGAAAAATTATATTTTCTTTGAATTATATAGAAACAGACTTTTTCGGGTTTTAGTAAGAAGAACGGAAGTCAACACAATTTTTTCTCCTTTTTTATTTTTTATTTTTCTCTTTTTCCTTATTTTTTTCCTGTGTTCTCCTGTTTAAATGTTACTTCTTTTTCCTACTTTTCTAAAATCATATTGTTCTCACACTTTTTTGGTATATTTTATCTTTAAAGTTAGAAATCCTTTCTCTATATTGCTCTTTCTTCTTGGAGCAACTTCTCTCAGTAAAAAAAAAAATTTTTTAAAGGGTTTAACATCAGAGATCCCTTCTGTGGGATTTTATTCAAGTCATTTTTTTAAAAATAAGAAGGATCTGAGATGGTCACCAGTATGTTGCACAAGGCTAAAGAACAAATTGATTTGGAAGTTCTTCTTTAAGATAAGACTATCAAAACAAAAAGAAAAATAATGTTTTAAAAAAATAAGACTGCCAGCATGTCTGGAGTATGTGTGTGTGTTTATTTACTGTATATGCTCAAAGAGTCAACCTCATTCTGTATTTTGTACATCTGAATTTATTATTTACAGTATTTATATACCGCCTTTCTCACCCCTGACGGGACTCAAAACAGAGGAATTCTCGATAGGTGCTCACATTGTGATCAATGTCCAAATATTTTCCCCAAATCTTGATTTCTTTGTGGTAAAACGTTGCATGCAATCCTCAAAGAAAAGTACTATAGCTGTTATGCTGCTCCATTTTTGCTGCTCTGTTTTTTGCTTGAACTAACAGTAAGTCTTAGTAAAATGCATTTTTCATAGATCTCATATACAGTAAATGGTGATACCCCTGCTTCTGCTGATGGCTTGTTAAAGGACTAATTCTCAAACTGAGCACTAGTGTGCAATTTCTACAGTTAGCTTGAGTACCTGAAGCCTGCAAATAGCCCAAGGCATCACTTTGACTCCCTGCATGATTCATTGCCCTCGCCTTGTCTCAGTCCAAGCAGGAGTGGGCTCAGATTATTTATAATAATGACTCATCCAAAGACCAAGGAGCTCATGTCAGGGCATATCCAAAACTATTTTTTGTATAAGAAAAAAGTGTGTGTTTTTCTAAAGCATATATCCTGAAAAAAAAACATTTTACATCCTGGAGAATGCTTTACTAAACTGGCTCATGACAAAAATCTAAGGGGATATGCATGCTTGATATGCTGCTGTAGATCTGCGCTTTAAAAACTATTTTGTTACATATGTAAAAGCATTTTCAACATATGTTCTTTTTATAGGCTAACAGAAGCCCATCGAACAGCTGTCAAAGTTGTAAGAAGAATGCAGTATTTTGTAGCCCGAAGGAAATTTCAGGTAATGAATTGCAACTGCAATAAGAAAATACACCATATCAGTGGTACTGCTTTTCAGAGCAGAATGTGTGAACTTTCCTAGGCAGGAAAACTTTGTGTACCAAGTAGTTTGTATAGCAAATAACTATACAAATATAGAATAACACAGAACATGGAAAAATATGGATTATTGCTAAATATTTTGTAGACCATGAAACTATTTTGTAGAATCTGAATCTTTTGTAGGTTCTGAATATTTTTTCAAAGTGTTCAGGTTCCAATATTCTTTGCCAAATACTATGAACAGCACTGCAGTTGGTACACAATACTTTTTTTGTCTAGTTCCTTTCAAGTGTATGATTTCCAGGGCACCTAATGTTGAATCACGGAGCAGTAGGGCATAGTTTGAGACTCATTCTGCACAAAATTCACATGTGGTTGCTTTGCACAGAAAAATGCATTTCTGTGCAGAAAACAGCAGTTTCTGTGTTTAAAATAATGCTGTTTGTTACATAGACAAAACTGTAATTGGGGGTTTGTTCTGTGTAAAATTTGAATATGACTTTACAACATTTTCTGTGTAAAAAAATAGCACTTTCTGCGCAGAAAATAGCCATTGCTGTGTAGTAAGCAGCATATCGCATGAAAGCTGACTGGCACAACCTGAGTATCACAACCAGATACAGTGAAGACATCTGCCCTTGCACTTTGCTACCCTGAATAGGCATGCCCAGTGTGGACTACATCATACCACTTTAAACCGTGGATGTGGCTCTTAATGAGACATGCCACATTATCACAGGATATCTATGTCCTACACTACCAGAGAAACTATACTGTTTAGCTGGTATTGCACCACCTGACATCCATTGGGAAGTAGCAGGCAATAATGAAAGGAACAAGGCAGTGACATCTCCAGCCCATTCTCTATTATTTTCTCTTTTAAAGGCTTTTCTGGTGTGTGTGTGTGGAGGGGTTGCTTTTGTGTCTGGGTACCCTTCCCCCAAGAATGTGCGAATATTGGGGGGAGGTATGTGGACTTCAACCCATCCACAATTGCATTTGAGAAACCCGATTGGGTGCCCTATGTGAAACCACCCAAGGAAACTCTACCCTCTACCATGCCCCAAAGCAGAATATTCAACTGTTGAATAGCTCTTCCATCAGGATATTATCCCTAATGTTTAGGTGGAATCTCTTTCCCTCAAATTTGAGTCTGTTGTCTTGTCCATCAGAGCAAAACCTGATGATGATAGAATTCACTGACAGAAGCAATAAAACTAAAAGAGAACACTCTTGTCAAAACTAGGAAGAACCAGCTGCTCTGTTGGGTATTTCCTCCTTGTTCTGAGATGCCAGTTCCTCAGCAGCAGATCCTGAAAAGTCAACCAAAGTCTAAGATTCAACTGTCATTCTGCATTTCTTTTAACAACAAAAAATCCAACAAAAAATATGTATCACTTATAGTATATTTCAGATAATATAAACAACTAAATAACTGTAGAAACATAACATACAAATATATTCAGAAAAATACAGAGCCTCTATGGTAGTTGCTGTTGCTTTGTACCTTGTAATCTACCACAAGAATTTCTTGACAAGATTTTTTTTAGAATAGGGTTGAATTTTTCTTCTGCTGAGGCTGAAAGTGTATGACTTGCTCAAAGATTTTGTCCCCACCCCAAAGTGAAACCCCGGACTTTCCTCAGGAGGTGGCTAGGTGCCATCCTGGATCAAAAAAAAGTTGACTGGGAATGGCATCCAGCCACCCTCCAGGCCCCCATATACCCTCAGAAACTTACCTGAGGGGCCTGCCAGCAGTGTGGGGCCCTCTGAAGAGTTCTCATTATGTGTCCTGCTTCCCCCCCCCCACCCCACCTCCTGATATGTAATTTTTGCATGTCAGGAGAACTCTCTAGGGGGGTGGCACTTCCAGCAGGCCCCTCGGATAAGTTTTTGAGGGGGAAATGGGGGGCTGGGGGGGAGGGGTGGGCACAATTTCACTCCTTTGGGTTCCAGGAGCCCAAACAACTGGAATGACTGTATTATGCAGAAGCAGTCCCATGAGTCAATCCACACAGGCCCAGAACCTTAACAGATCTGGACCTTTCAATAAGGTCTGTATAACATTGAATAAAACATGCAGAATAATCACAGGATGTCTTAAACCTACACCTGTTGATAAACTCTTCAAGCTAGCTGGCATTGCCCCCCCCCCCAATATGCGATGGGAAGTTGCTGCTAAATGTGAGAGAAATAAGGTTGAACACTCTGAAAGCCAACCAGTACATGGCTACCAGCCTCCTCCCAGCAGACTCAAATCAAGGAAAAGCTTGATGAGAACTACCACTCCTCTTGGCGTCCCCCCAGCAACAGCAAGGGTATCCCTCTGGGCAGCTAAACCAGGAAACCCCAACAGGATGCCCCCCCCCCCACGAGGGTCTTCCTCCAGGGGCAAACCAAGAACGGGCAACTTGGAAGTCCCTGAACTCACTCAAAAGTGGAATGGGCAGAACAAAAGACAACCTGGCAAAATGGCACTACCTAAAAGAATCCCACACCTTATGTGACTGTGAAGCAGAACAGACAACTCCACATCTGTATGCTTGTCCACTATGCCCTGCCTCATGTACAGACGAAGAATTTTTGGAGGCTACAGACAATGCCATTGCTGTTGCCCGTTTTCAGTCAAAAGATATTTAACCACATACACTCCTTCTATTTTTATCGGTTTTATACTAATTTATGTAATGCTTTTGATACAAAATAATAAGGTCTGTATACTGAGGTGTCAAATTAATCTGGAGAAAACTGGGATGTCCCTGTTTTCTCCACATTAATCCAGGTTTACCTGAGGCACCTCAGGTATACCCGTGACCCATCACGCGTTATCAGGGCCCTAAGTTAGATCTCAACTACCCTGTTTTTGTCATAATATTTTCTGCATAAAAAGACCGTAATAAAGTTTACTTACTTACTAAAAAGAGCTATTCAGATAGTGGATGAGATTTTTTTTTACCTGGGCTCAGTGATATTTTATCTTGCATTCCTTAACATAAATTTTATCACCTCTAATTTTACATGAACAAACAGGTTTGGAAAAATAAACTTTACTGGAAAGGAAGAAAATTAATTATGCATTTGTGTAGCCTTCTCTTCCCCGCTGTCTCATTTTCTCTCCCACCCCACCCCTTTCTAGCACATCTAGGCTCTGAGCCATTTTAATTCAAAAGAAAAAAAAACCCCACAAAATACATTGAGAAAGGAGGAGCATATTTAGACAAATTACTCTCAAAGCACCTCTGCCAGTCAGTCTAAAGAGTAGTGCTGACATAGTTGCCCCATACAACATACAATGTTCAACCTTTTTTCTGGCAAGAAATAATGATGTGTCACCATCTGGAAGCAGTCAAGTTGGATGAGCATTTAAGAAGCAACAATTTCAATGTAAATGTTTCCCCTCTCCTCCTAATTGCCAAAAAAACTTTAAACTTGTGTTTCCTAAAGCCAGTGCCAAGGTAAGCTCAGATTGCTGATAACTGGCAACATTGGTCTGTCTGTCTTTCTTCTTCTCCCTCTCTCGTCCTTCCCCTCCTCCTTTGTGTGAGTGTTTCTTTTTACAAGATCTTTTCTCTCTCTCTTTGCTTTTATCTGCAATTCTGGGATCCCATGGCTGCACTCCAAGCATGACTCCATCATACGCTAGAGGTGTTTAATGCATGCTAATGGCTCCAGCTGAGGCTGTAGCAGAGTGAAAGCAGACAACACAACTAATGAGCTTCTGTTAGTTATTTTTGAATTACTAGATAGTTTTTCATGCAGTGTACCTCTCCCCCTTTTCTGCGTCATTGAACCACAGCCAAAAGGGAGATCCATCTTGCCCCAGATTCCCTGCTGAATTTATGCAGATTCCAAAACAGCCAAAGCAAACACTAGTGCAATCTCCACCTCTACTACACTCCCAGTTTCTTTGTTTACATCCTTCATAACAGCATTGTCATGTAAATTCCCCAGATTACTTTTTTACTTCAGTAGTACTTAGGCTCAGGAAACCCCAGATAGTCTTTGAGTTTTAAATCCAAAGATCAAGCAATCCATAGCAAAGTAAAAGTATAATATTTACTTATTTGCTTAGGCTATCCCTCGTTGTCCGATTGTCCTCCAAGTGCGGTGTTCTGGCGGTGGGTACGTAGGTGACTGTGGAGCCCTATTCTTGATCTGCATGTTCTCCCGCAGTGAGAGCATCGGTTTCCAGGTGGAAGGCGGTCCCGGTCAAGGTTGGCTTGACATGCCTTCCACTTGGCACATTTCTCTCTTTTGCCCTCCATTCGTGCCTCTTCAAATTCTACAACACTACTGGTCACAACTGACCTCCAGCTAGAGCACTCAAGCACCAGGGCTTCCCAGTTCTTGGTGTCTATGCCACAGTTTTTAAGGTTGGCTTTGAGCCCATCTTTAAATCTCTTTTCCTGTCCTCCAACATTCCATTTGTTCTTGAGTTCGGAGTAGGGCAACTGCTTTGAGAGACGGTGATCAGGCATTCAGTCAATGTGGTCGGTCAGGAGAGTTGATGGTAGAGGAGTGGTCTTTGCTTCTTCCAGCACACTGACATTTGTCCACCTGTCTTCTCAAGAGATTTACAGGATTTTTTGGAGGCAACGCTGGTGGAATCGTTCCAGGAGTTGCATGTGATATCTGTAGATAGTCCCCATTTCACAGGCATATAGCATGATTGGAAGGACAATGACTTTATAAACAAGCACCTTGGTATCCCTACGGATGTCCCGGTCCTCAAACACTCTCTGCTTCATTCATAGAATCATAGAGTTGGAAGAGACCTGCCAAGAAGCAGGGGGTTGGACTGGATGGCCCATGAGGTCTCTTCCAATTCTATGATTCTATGATTCTATGAATGAAGCAGAGAGTGTTTGAGGACCGGGACATCCGTAGGGATACCAAGGTGCTTGTTTATAAAGATGTACTCACAGAGCTCAGGCGGTGTTGTATTTCAGTGTCAATGCTGATTTTTGTGGAGAGGTGGCTGCCAAGGTAGCGGAAATGGTCAACATTTTCTAATGTTACACCATTAAGCTGTATTCCCGGCAATACAGACAGATGGGATGGTGACTGTTGGAAGAGCACTTTGGTTTTCTCGATGTTCAATGACAGGCCGAGTTTCTTGTATGTTTCTGCGAACGTCTTTAGAGTGTCGTGTAGGTCTTCTTCTGAATGCGCACAGACGACGTTGTCATCAGCAGCATACTGGAGTTCTATAACACATGTTGTAACCTTGGTTTTGGCTTTTCAAATTTGTATGGGGAGAGAGGGAGTCCAGCTGTCTCACATTTAACACTGCAAAATAGTGATACCTCACTCACCAGCAGATGATTCCTTGAGGGTGGAGGAAGGTGGAGCCACTCTGACAGCAACTTCCACCTGGTTCCTGCCACAATCTTTAGCTGGTTTGGGCCACTTTCCATTGCCTGGTGGTGCCTGCCAGTGAGCACCTGTCAGGCACAATGTGCTTATTGGCTGGAACATGGCCTCCATTGTCCAGTCGGTACCCACATCAAGTTTTCCATTCTGGTCCAGTGGAGGCTTATAAGAGACTAGCCCAGAGCAAAGCCTGCTCAGTTGGGCTGAGTTTCAAGCAGCCCACCTCTCCCTAATCTCTTGAAATTATGTTTTTACATAGTCACAACTGTTGGATCCAGGATCTTGAGATGAGTGCATCCGGGCACTGGTTGACAGGGGGTTCCACATGCGACTTGAGAAGAAGGAGTGATAAGGCAGAAGCGGGAAGGGCAGACCACTAGCAGAGACAGACTATGGCCGGATTGTTCTTGCAGTTGATCTTAAGCCTCTCCTGTGGGGAACCGGCACCAGTCCAGTTCTGTAGAGTCATCAGCCAACAGGTGAATTGGTTGATACAGGGATCCAAGCCCATGCAGGCGCCAACTTTAGGTGGGCTGTAACCAAATAAAATTGTGGCCTTTTGTTATCTGATTTTTTGTCACATCATCATTGGGGAGGGGAATGTGGAGCTGACATCCCACTTAGTAAAGGAAAGGTAAAATTCCAAAATGTTAAGACACTCTCCACATGTGCAATTTTATCTTGGCATGCCTTGATAAAAAAAAAATCCAGTTGACCCTCTTGCTGAGCAATTGCAAATTGTGCTATTTTTGGACTCTTATGAAAATAAGGTAACGTATGAGGCACAAAGCCCTGAGTGCTGAGCCCTGACCAGGTTAGAGGCCAAGACCGAAACATGCACACACACATTACTATTAAAATAAATCATACAAACAAATAAGACACATTCTGCCTTGGAATTGCAATCTCTTCCATTACCAGTCTACCTTACTAATATCTGTATGGTTGAAACACATGAAACTTCACAGAACCTCTAATCTTTTTGTTTTGATTTGTACTTTTTTGACAGCAAGCTCGGAAGCCTTATGACGTGCGGGATGTGATTGAACAGTATTCTCAAGGGCACCTCAATATGATGGTTCGGATCAAAGAACTTCAAAGAAGGTATGCCACGTTGCCTTCGAGAAAACTCATGTTTTCCTTGACGACACTAGGTGAAGATATTTCATAAATAAGTGGTTCTGAAAGTATTGCGCCCAGAGTCCTTAAAATTAATGACTTTCTATGAAGCTTCATTGTAAACAGTTTTAGATACAAGTTGTGCATCCTTCATCTAGAATTCCGAAATACTTCAGAATTCAAAGTTATCCACATGAGTGGCTGGGATAGTGACACATTTGCTTTCTGGTGGTTCAGTGTACACAAACACTCTTTCATGCATGAAATTATTTAAAAGTATTGCATAAAATTATCTTCAGGCTATGAGTATAGGGTGAATATGAAATATAAACAAATTTAATATTTAGGCTTTATGTATGTGAGATATATATATATATATATATATATATATATATATACATACATACATACATACATACACACACACACACACACACACACACACATACACACACAGAATATTCTGGTGTATAAGACTACTTTTTCACCCAAGAAAATCTTCTCAAAAGTCAGGTGTCGTCTTATACGCGGGAGTAGTCTTATAGAGCGGATGCTGAAACTTCCAATGTACAAACAAAGTTTTGGGTTGCACTTGTGGCTGTTTTTCTGCCATAAATGCAGCTCACCATGAGGGTACCAGGGCAAAAATTGGCTTCTGCTACAACTGTGGATCCCTGATGTACAGTTAATGGAGCTTTTACAGTTTCTACAGTTAATGGAGCTTTTCCTTTGGCCTTCCACTAGATTAAACAATGGAAAGTAGTGCCAACAGAAGATTCTCACTTATCAAGAATGGTGACATTTCTAGAGTTCCTAGAAACCACAATCTAGTATCACTAGAAAGCAGGATTTCTTCACAGTCTGTAGGGTTTTTCAGATGTTCTTCCTTGCGTACATTAAATATATTTAGGCCTTTTCTACACTGCCATATAAAATCAGATTATTTGCCTTGAACGGGATTACCTGGCAGTGTAGACGCATATAATCCAGTTCAAAGCAGATAATGTGGATTAACTGCTTTGGTAATCTGGATTATATGACAGTGCAGAAGGGGTCTTAGTAGGAAAGAGAGCTGAATTTGCCACTCTACACATCTACACATCTGCATGATCCCAGAAATCCTAACAGATCATAAACTGGCAGGGCTTTCTGGGAGTTGTGGGCCAAACCACCTGGGGACCCACAGGCTGAGAATCACTGACATACAGTGATATATTAATAGGCTCTTTGCATAGAAAGGAACACAAAACACAAACGGTTTTTCACCAACTTGTAATCTCTATATTATGCTAAATTGGGAGGGGCACTGTTCAGGTCTACCAGATTATCTGCTTTGAATTGGATTATCTGGCAGTGTGGACTCATATAATCCAGTTCAAAGCAGATAATGTGTATTATCTGATTTGATAATCTGGATTATATAGCAGTGTAGAAAGGGCCTCAGTGAGGCACAGCTAAATAAAGAGCCTTGTGTGGATGAACAAACAAAAAAAGAGTAATGGGTTGTTGTAGGTTTTTTCGGGCTATATGGCCATGTTCTAGAGGCATTCTCTCCTGACGTTTCACCTGCATCTATGGCAAGCATCCTCAGAGGTAGTGAGGATGCTTGCCAAAGATGCAGGAGAAACGTCAGGAGAGAATGCCTGTAGAACATGGCCATATAGCCCGAAAAAACCTAAACAACCCAGTGATTCCAGCCATGAAAACCTTCGACAATACAAAAAAGAGTAAGATTCTTTTGTATTCAGTAGAAAGAATACAGGACTGGGCATCTGTACACTATTGTCCAAGAACTTAGCTTGCTCTCTATAGATCACAGAAATATTTATTTCATTTTTATCACTGTGTACTGTATAAATACTGTATAAATATATGTATGCAAATATATCCTTTTTCTTTCTTTTTTCCTTCTTCCAAGGTTGGATCATTCACTGGGAAAACCTGGCCTCTTTCTTCCAGGTACAGCACCAGAAATTGCATCCTGGGCTTTCCTTCTCATCTGACCTCTCAGCCACGCAAAGAACAATTCCTTCTTTTGCTTATTTGGCAAGGGATGGCAGGAGGAACAATGGCTCTCAATGCATGACTTCCATTCCTTTGGCATACTGTGATACAGCCCATAATGAGAAATACATGAGAGTCGTGGAGATTTCTCATCTCTTGTCTATTTTTATAATCTTTCCCAAAGGCAATGCAACCAGTTAGTTTTTCATAACTAGCCACTATGTCAGATTGCTGGCCGATTTATTGCAGCACAGTGTCTACTGTCATTGAAAACTACAACTCAAGACCCTAAATACTTCTATTTAAATTAGCCATGGGTGGGAATTTCGGGTCATTTGTTTCATAAGAATTAAGCAAAGTTCACAAATTATGCTATCTTTTGAATGGGAAGAACTTGAGATTTCATAAAATATTAATATGGATTATAGTAAAATTGGTTTGTCCATCTAGGGGTGTAGCTCTCTTAAGGTCTGGAATGGATCACTATGAATTGAGCTGTGTTTGTGGCCCAGAATGGATGTTTGTTTTTTAATTTTATTTTATCTTATTGTAAATGTTTATGATCCACTTCTCAACCTATTAGTATTGTATTCAACCACCCAATACATTAAAACAGGGGTCCTCAAACTTTTTAAACAGAGGACCAGGTCACAGTCCTTCAAATTGTTGGAGTGCCGAATTATAATTTGAAAAAAGCATGAATGAATTCCTATGCGCACTGCACATATCTTCTTTGTATTGCAAAAAAACCCCTTAAAAACAATACAATAATTAAATTGAAGAACAATTTTAACAAATAATAAGCTTATTAGTATTTCAATGGGAAGTGTGGGCTTGCTTTTGGCTGATGAGATAGGATTGTTGTTATTGCTGTTGTTGTTGTTTTTGTGTGCTTTCAAGTAGTTTCAAACTTAGGTTGACCCTGAGCGAGGGCCGGGTAAATGATCTTGGAGGGCCCTATCTGGCCCTCGGGCCTTAGTTTGAGGACCCCTGCATTAAATACATGAATAAAAAATGGGTTGTTGTAGTTTTTTTCGGGCTATATGGCCATGTTCTAGAGGTATTCTCTCCTGACGTTTCGCCTGCATCTATGACAAGCATCCTCTGAGGTAGTTAGGCCACTTTGAGTCCCCTTGTGGAGAGAAGTGCGGGGTAGAACTGTATAAAATAAAACTACAGATTAGTGCTGCCATGATTCATTTCAGCCAAACTGACTGAAAGGATGCCATGACTAATGGTACTAAATGCTCTTGTGAGGTCCAACAGAAGTAACAGGGTGCACCATCCAGTCAGGTTTCCTGCATAGATCTTCCATCAAGGCAACCAAGGCTGTTTATATTCCATAAATAGTTCTGGGTAATACCTTTTAATAGTTGATTTTTCTTATGGCAGATAGATACAGCATTCTTTTCTCCATGCCTGAAATAGCTATACATAATGAATTTGATCAGTCAGAGTAGTGAATGATCAGATTCATTTCATTTTTAAAGAATGTATCAAATGTACAAGTTACATATTCAGGATGTAAAAGGTATGAAATAATTCAATGACAGAGAACATGAAACTGATAAATTCCCTCATCTCTAGCTGAGATACTTTCAATTGGAGGTGTCAGGAAAGGAACCTTATTTCTTAATTGTACGAGGGTTGAATGAAAAGTAATGCCTCCACCTTCGTTACTTGAGTTTGGATTGGAATATTTTAATAAATCAAATGCAGAAATAATCCTTAGAATGTGCTCTTTAACTACCACTATTCACTTTTTGACATAATCACCAGACAATTGGATACTAGGGCTGGGCGGTTTCATTCGTTAATTTCGTAATTCGTTATTGATTCGTATTTAAATTAGCTTATGATCCGATATTGAACCATTCAGGAGCAACTAAAAATCGAAACAAATTTTTCAATTCATTTCGTAATTGTTTTGTAATTGTTTCGAAATCGTTTCGAAATCATTTCGAAATTGTTTCGTTATTATTTCCGTATGTTTGGTGCAAGTTTTATAGTTGTTGTTTGTTTTATCAGTGATAAAAAAATAAATTATCACGCCAACAGTCAACAACAGAGGGAGAGGGAAGCTTCAGAAGTTCCCCCTGTCCCATTTGGAGGTTTTTTTTTAGCGTATTGCGCAATCGCGTCCGCCATTAACGAATCGATTCGTAATTGTTTCGTAATTTCCGAAATTTCATATATTTCAAACTTTTTTAAAGAAAAATTTTGGAATTCTTTTAAAAAACGAAACGCAAAAACCCCCTAAAAACTAATCGAGTTTAGAAACAAATTTTTCCGTGGTTGCCCAGCTCTATTGGATACATTTCTGCCAATGATTAACAAGTTTTCTGAAGCCGTCACAGAAGAAGTCAACACTCTGTTTCCACAACCCATTGTGCACAGATCTTCCGATAGCCAAGCAAAGCAATAATGTGACCCACACGTTCTTGTGAAATGCCAATTATGCTTGAAATTTCTCTCTGAGTGATACGACGATTGTCCTGAATCAATCTGTCAGTCTTTTGCTTGTGAAGCTCAGTGGTTGCTGTCACAGGATGTCCAACTCTTTGTCACGCTAGTCAGATGTTCCCACCTCAAAATCTTTAAACTTACTCGCCCAACGATGCACAGTACTCACATCAACACAATCACCACAAACAGCTTGAATTCTCTGATGAATCTCCTTTGGGGTGACACCTTCTGCTGTCAAGAATTCAATGACTGCACGTTGCTTAAGTCGCATTGACCAACTGCCTGCTCAGGGTTCCATACTTCACACTTTAACAACACAACCGTTCAATGCTAAGGCTTCCCACCAAAATGGAACTATAGAGGAGAGTCTACTGAACAAGCCAGTACCTGCTGCATACCAGTACTGCAATCTGTTGAGGAGTTATGAAGGTGGAGGCATCACTTTTCATTCAACTCTCGTATATGTGTATGTGTGAACTTTCAAGACACATTTCAACTTAGGGTGTCCTTAGTAATTTTGTTTGCAAAATACACTCAGAACACTCAGACCTCACAACCTCTGAGGATGCCTGCCATAGATGCAGGCAAAACGTCAGGAGAGAATGCTTCTGGGACATGGCCATACAGCAACACACTCAGAGCAGTTTGCAAATGGGTTCTTCTGAAATATAACCCACAGCACTTGGCAACTCTCATCCAAATACTAACCAGGCCTGATTCCGTTTAGCTTCCAAAATCTGATGGGATCTGATGCCTTCAGGTTCTTTAATTTATACTCCTGCTTTATAACCTAGTAAATCCATTTAATTTATATTTTGCTTATGAAATGGTACATATTTATGGGGAAGGAGTGTATATATTTATAGTTGTAATCATGTTGCCATTTAACATTCTACTAATGTTGATTGGACCTAACCAAATCGGCGGTGGATTCTTAGAATCATATAACTGTACCTTTTTTTTTTAATTTAGAAAAGGGGGTAGACAAAGGATACTACACTGTTGGAGCCAGACTGATCCGGCTGGAGGATAAGGTAAGGATTGTGTTTTGCTCTGAAGTCTCGCCATGTCATTTTCTACCACCCCACAATGATAGCTGGTTTATCTTTTAAAGTTTCTATCTTACCATCGTGTTCTCTAAAACTTTGAAACATTTAAAATATGTGAAAAGTATTGTAATATTCAGGAGTAAGTTGCTGACATGTGCATAGCTATAGTCAGGGCAAAATGTGAAATATTTGCCTTTTGAACCCACAGCCTGTGGGTGTAGAGTGAAAGGATTTTGCCCGAAATATGAAATACTAAAGGATCATGATATATTTTGCTTCAAGACAGATTAAGAGTATGGAGCAGCTGATTATTTGGCTTTGCTTGAGATGGTATTTTGAAAATGCTTTTTAATATATGAATAAGGATATTACGATGAAGGATAAAATATAACAGTGTTGTCAAGATGTAACTGAGTAACAACTTGAAATGCAAAGAGATAAAGGTTATTGTCTGTTTGTTTGTTGAAGAAAATCAAAGAATATTGAATGATATTCCTTTGTTGTTGTTCCAGTGATTCTCCAAATCAAGCAGGTTCTAGAGATGTTTGTAGGACTTCATAAAAAACAGATTTTTCAAGGTCTTGGGGCCAATAACGGGACAAAATGAGTGTACAATAAACACATCAGAATCCTTATATTAAAACTGCATTATATATGTGTGTGTGTGTGTTATTTTAGCATTCTGGCTGCCAGAATGCTAAAATAACATACAAAATGGTCCTTTTTCTACTTAAAGCAACACAGCTGAGAACTGTGTTCATTCTATGATTCTAACTGCATATTTGGAGTCGATTGGGATAAACTGTAGAGGTGATGCAGATATTTGATCTGGATCGGGATCTTGTTAACAGCTTGTTTATTTAACTTTTGTTGTACTGTGGGCTGTATGTATATGTATTAAATGTGTTGTCAAATATTTTGGTACAGCCAGTGGGTTAATCAATAAAACGTACAGTTGGCCCTCCACATTTGCAGGTTTAACAGGTGATTATTTGCATCTCCAGGAATCACTTTCAAGGAACTACTACATCTCTCAGGGTGATTCTACAGTAGCTTCCACTGAATCCTGACCATTGAGTCACTGTAGAGGACTTAGGACCTCATCATATGGAAGCTTTCCTCCATTTCTACACGCTTCAAAGACGAAATCACATGAATCCTATCAAACAATGCACAACGCAATAATAATAATAATAATAATCATCATCATCATCACCATCATCATCTTTGGGTTGTTGTAGGTCTGGCTACAACAACCCAGATAAATAATAAACTTTATTTATATCCCGCTCCCTCTCGAAAAGGACTTGGCTCAGCTTACAGCAAAATTAAATCATAACACATACATAAGCAAAAGCAACAAGGCAGGACATAATGTATAACCAACACTTAGAAATGCTTGGGAACAGATATTTTTTCCCCATGAGATGGGACATGGTGCTTTCGCCCACTTTCAGTTTGTTTTCTGACATTTTATGTCGGGTGCATGTGGGAGTCTTTTCATTCTCCTCAGTGCTCCTTCTGCCTCCAGACACAGAAAAGGACTGGGTTGTTGTAGGTCTTTTGGGCTATATGGCCATGTTCTAGAAGCATTCTCTCCTGACGTTTTTGCCTGCAACCTCTGAGGATGCTTGCCATAGATGCAGGCGAGAATGCTTCTAGAGCATGGCCATGCGCTTCATCAGGAGAGAATGCTTCTAGAACATGGCCATGCGCTTCATCAGGAGAGAATGCTTCTAGAACATGGCCATATAGACCAAAAATCTTACAACAACCCAGTGATTTCAGCCATGAAAGCCTTTGACAATAGACTGATAAATAATTATATTCTTTTTAAAAAGTTGCTATAACTTTGAAATTCTGCCTTATTGAAATTTTTGAAAACTCTTCTGCAATTGTTCAATTAGAAAAAATACTGAAAAACTGAGACATGGGAGGAGGCAACACTCACCTGTGTGGTGAAGAAAGAAGCACATGGTTTAACTAGAAATGGGCAGAAGTATGCACTTTGTTCATCTCAAGGTCCTCTCAAATGTCAGACCTAGCTATTCCTGGAGGCACCTCTGATTATGTGGCAGAAATATCTGACAGCCCTTTTAGCTATGGAATTACGTTGTTTATACGTTAGTATATAATGCTCGGTTCATATGGCATGATTGGATAGTTGAACCATAATGCTTGTTTGGCCGTCTTTTGCTCTTGTTTACAAATGACTTGCATTATTGTGGCTGGTATTAGAGCTGAATGTGGTTCAGTTCGAAGACTCCATGGAGACCTTCCAAAGGAGATTGGGGCCAATTTTCCAAGATCAGATCATGCCATTTGACTGAACCTTTACTAGCTTCAGCATAAACAGTTAGCTTTAAATTATGTCCTGCGGCTAATGACAGATTTTCTTACATATGTTTGGACAATTGCTTTCAAATTCCAACATGAGCTACTTGTTGGCAGTAGCTTTGATTTAAATTTGTAATCTGATGCCCCTCTATCATTTAGATGGGATTGTCTGATTGTGGTCTTCTATTTAATGTTTTAAAGCAATGAACGCCATTAAAACAAACAAAAAATTACCAAAAAATGGCTTAGACAAGAATTGTCAAATTAAAAAAGTGTGCAAAAGACATCTCTACTGAATTTTGAAAAATATATCTATTGGGCATTTTCATAATTATATAGCAATCTCTTGTGGTACTTACAATTACAGTCAACATTCATCTTAACATAACTCTTTCCACATTTATAGACAAACAAGTGATAACATGCCAAGCCAAAGCAACCATGTAAGATTGGCAAAAATGCTAAGAAAACTGAAGCAATAAAGCTGAAGCCTTTGGAACACAATAACAGACACGGGGCAAGTGGGAGCAAACTACATGCATACATATATATTTGATTGCAAAGAAAAATAACTTTTTTTATTTTTAGTTGAAGCCAGACTAACTGAAAGAACAGTGCATTTTGATAGGCGTTAGCTCTTCTTTTTTCCTATACAAAATGATTTGCAAGGTGGTGGGGTCCAAAGGTCAGGATACAACAATTGAAGTATTGAAATATTCCTGAAACATAACCACTGTGATGGACAAATTCAGTTTAAGACCACAATCCAAACTACCGTATATTCCGGGGTACTAGACGACTATTCCGGGGTACTAGACGACTTTTTAGGCATGTAAAACCTTATTAAGTTTTGGGGTTCATCTACTACGTCGGGTATAAAATTAAAATAATAACAAAATTACTTAATATGGCTGCCTTGTCCTCGGGCTCCCCTCCTCCTCTTCCTTCGCCTTGGCTCATGGCAGCCTCCTGGGCAGGCTCCCCGTCCTTCCTGGCTGCCTTCCTTGCAGAGGCCCAGGCCTCTCCTTTGTTGGTGGCCAGGCCCCTGGGCTGATTCCCGCGCTGCTCAGGCCGCTCTCCTTCCTTTTCATGCCTCGTGAGAAGTGCCTCTTCTCCCGCAAGACAACGTTGCGAGGCCTGGACAGGAAGAAGGAGAGCGGCCTGAGGAGCACCTGAGGCCCTTCTGATCTGCCGCTCTCCATCTTCCTGTCCAGGTCTCATGCGAAGAGCCTCTTCTCCCTCAAGACAATGTTGTCTCGCGGGAGAAGAGGCACTTCGCATGAGGTCTGGACAGGAAGAAGGAGAGTGGCCTGAGAAGCGCCTGGTTTGGGGAGTCATCTTAAACGGCGAGTATATGCCCAACTCTCAATTTGGTTGCTAAAATTGGGGGGTCATCTTATAGCCCCAGTCGTTTTATACCCCGGAATATACGGTATGTCAGCAATAGGTGGATCTAATGCTACTGATAGGCAAAGGAAAAATGGAAATGCCTACTCCCTAGTCTTACCATTTGAAATCTGATATCATGAACTGTTGTGGAGATGCCAACGACCTTCTATGTGCAAAATTCTGTTCTGCCACTGTATGTAGTCATGTTTTTCCACGTTTGTAAAAGTCTTATGCCCTTAACCCTTGTGAAAGTGGAAGGCCGACAGCACTTTGAAACCATTTGGGGGATTTTTTTTTCATTCTCTATTGTTTGTTTAGATTTAGGGGACCAACAGGCTCCTTATACAGTTGAAAGGCAGCATATAAAAGTTTAATATAAATAAAATTATGATTCATCTCATTTACAGGTAATTTTTTTAAATCAGCAAGTACCTCATCACATTGATGAGGTTCAGCATTCTGATTTGCCAGAACTCTGTGGTGAATCGGGAGGCAGCAGAGCAATCCTGGCACCCTGCGACCCACTTCACCACCAGCTAATGCTTCCCCATCAACGTGAGGAAACATCACCATGTGACTTCCCCCGCCCTAGCCTCGTTGTTCCACATAGAACACAGGGAGGTTCCCATGTTGACAATGCTGTTGCGCAGCAAGCGGATCTTAGTCACATCCCATGCACAAGACACACAGACAAGTGTAGAGATGAATGGAAAAATATTTACTCTTAATAGCAGAGATGAAACACAAACTTGCAATGTTGCATAGAAAAAGCGAACAGTGCAAGAAACTTACATAGTCTTTGTAAGTAATACAAAAGGCATCTTTATCTTAAGTCAAACGAGAAAGCAAAACATAAACCTTGAGCAAACAGCTATTCCAACATAGCCTCCTTTAGTGCAGCATAACGGCTTCTCTCCAACCTGCTCCTCAGAGCAGAGCCTTTGAGCATAAATCTCCTCAGAGAAAAAGCTCTCCAGAACTGTATTCTAAAAACCCATACAGTTATACCCTATCTGGTGTGGTGCAAGATTGCTGGATGACCTACATTACCAGCTGCACATAATAATTACCATCATAAGGTTTTTCTTCAACACACACACACACACACACACTTGGTCCTGCTACAACTTACTGTAACAAATGCTGCCACCTCAGTTGACCCACAGAGTTCCACCAGAAGTGAGGCTATGTTGTGTGATGGGCAATGTGGGTCTTTGTGGGTCAACTGGGGCAGAAGTGTCCCAGGATGCTGAATTTCC